CAATCCTGAGCCCCAGGAACTGGATCTGAATGTCTCATGTCCCTGGCCACGGGATTGGTTCAGGGATGGGCATGTGACCCAAGCTTGTCCAATGAGAATTCATCACAACACTTGCTACAGCTGTGCACAGAGGAGCTTCTTTACTCCAGGATTGTTGGAGCCTGAAAATGTCAACCCGAAGCCACCCGAGGCCAACACTGTCAGGAGAATCTGCCTGAGAATGAAGGCAGCTGAGCAGAAAACACAGCTGAGAGGGGCAGACAGACAAAAGGATCTTGAAGACGTGGCTTATCCACCTGGATCCAGCCATGCCTGAAGCTGCACCACAGAATTTCCAGTTAGGTAGAAACCCCTATTCCTATTTGAGCCAGTTTAAGTCACATTCCTGTTATTTACAGCAAATGATGATCCCAGTGCTTGCTCTGTGCCGAGTCTTGTGCTGGATGCTGGGGGAGACATATTTAAGACACAGCGCCTGGCTTTGGGGAGTTCACGGCTTGTAGAGAAGGTCCTGCTGGGAATACAGAGAACTATGTCCGCCCTGGCCTGGGGCGGAGCACAGACAGGTAGTGACCGGTGGCAAGACCGTGATTGTAAGTTGGTGAATCCCCTTCTCCTGCCCAGGGACCAGCATCTCCCCTATCCCCATGGGGCTGGCTTTTCCTCCTGTACCCAGCCCACCCAGCGCCCGGGGTGAAAGCTGTTGATCTAAGGAACCCGGAGAGAAAACACCAGGCGTGGCCTCCTGCCGGCCTGGGTCCTTGTCTGCCAGAAGGTTCTCTTCAAAGGCAGCGGGGTCCCTTGCAAGATCAACATCCAAAGCTAGAGACGGACTGGGGGCGGCCACCTTGGAGCCTGGACCTAGGGCGTGGTGGCCGGAGAGAAGGGCCCTCCAGGTGCAGAGGGCGAGGGTGGGAGCCCGCTGGCCCAGCACTGCCCAGCTCCGGGGGTCCTGGAGCCCCAGAGGTCATAGGTGGTATTGGGGGCGCAGGCGCCATTGAGCCTCCATAAGGAGAAACTAACTCCTGTGTTGGGGGACCCTTCACTCCACAAGGGGGAGCTCCGCTGGGCCAGGACAGGGCTCAGAGCCACCGCGTCATTTGTCTCAGGGGGCTCAGCCACCTCGCCGGGAACAGCACCAGAAATCAGCGGCCCCTGGCATCCGAGGAGCAGTGGGAGAATTAGATGGGGGCCTAGTGGCAGCCCTTCCCAGTCCCGAGGGGTCCGGCTTCAGCTGGACGCCACCTGGACCCCCAGGCTGGGCGGGGTCCTGCTCTGCGCTCTCACCTGCCGGCCTGGCGGGGAGCGGGCCCGTGGGGTCTGTTGGTGGCGGGTTGGCACCGGTGCACAGCCTGGGCTCACTATGATGTCACGCTCAGCCACGTCCCTCCCCTGGCACACCTGCTCCTTGGGCAGGTTCCCAGTGTCACCTGATGCCATCTCCCTCGTCCCAGGTGCCCAGGACAAAAGCCCGGGGGCTGCCTGGCCTGCCGCTTCCTCTCCCACACTCCAGCTCCCCCCGTCAGCCAAAGGGCTTCACCTTTCACCCGCAGAGCAGACCCGAACCTGGGCAGCCCTGGCCCACGGCCTTCCCCCTACCTGTCCCCAAGTCGCAGCCCTGGCTGAAGATCCTCAGCTCCCTGCGGTGGCCCCTCTCCCTGTTCCTCACCCAGGGCCAGAGAGGTCTCCCCCTGCTGGAGACCACCGGAGACTCCCTGGCTGCTCAGAAGTCAAAAGCCAAAGTCTTGTTGTTGTGACAAGCCCACCCTGCTCCCTCCTCTCCTACCCGCCTCCTCAGACCCTTGCTCACCCCAGGACTCTTGCACCTGCTCCTCCAGAGGCCAAAGCCTCCACCACCCCTGACCAGGTGGCTCCTCCTTCACCCACTCTAGGTCCTTGCTCAAAGGTCACCTTCTCCTGAGGTTTCCCGTGACCCTTCCAGGCTTCGCTTTACTAGTGGTTCTTATTAGATCAAGCGTCTCCTTGGTGTCTCCATCCCCCCGAGCTGTCAGGGCCCCCAGAGGGGCTGCCTCTCTTCCCCCTGCTGCTGAACGCCCCCGCACCTGGCACCGCCCTGGAACATGGCGGAGTCGTAATATTGGTTGGGTGGATGGGCGGATGGATGGACACACGGACATGTTCTGTTACCCTGTTTGTCTGTCTTGCCCACCAAGCTCCAAACTCCTTGAGGCGAAGGACTCTCTCCTGTTCGCCATTGGAATCTAGGGGTGGGGGGCAGGGGCCAGTTTGGGGGTCACGTGGACGTTGAAGGAAGGATCTCAACCTTCGGTTCACGGAGGGGGACATGGAGGCGGGGGGCAGAGACTCCAGGCCTCCCAGTTCTGCTCCCGAGACTCCCTCCTGGACCACCTGTGTGCCCCCAGTGACAGCAGGTGGCAGAGACGTCCTGACCTGACCCTGGGCAGTCCCGGGAAGCCGCCTGTGAGATGGAGTTGATGAAACCAGCAGCGACCTCATGGGGTGGCCGGGAGGCTCACAGGAAGGGACGCACTGGAAGTGTCGGGTCCCGGCTAGGACAGAGGGACAAAGAGGCCAGTCTCTCCCAAGCCTCCCTCGGGTGCCCCCCAGCTCGGTGGAGCCTGCCCGGATGTGCTCTGGGGCCGCAGCGCCTCATGTAGCTTTCTGGCACCTGTTCTGTCGGAGTGGCTTCCCAGGTGACACTGGCATTGTCTGGGGACAATTGCCCCTTTCAAGGTCAGAAGCACCCTGCGAGCTCCTGGTGCAGCCGGGGAGAGGCAGCTCCTGGCCAGTCCCACCGCTCCCCTGCTCCCCCGCTCCCTGGCTGGAATCCAGCCCTGGGACCCTGCCGAGGCCGGGAGAGGCTGCTTTGGGAGGACGGGGGCTGGGAGGGGACCTCCATCCTCAGGGGACCGCATCTTGCAGGTTATGGAGCCGCCACTGAGGTTTTCTAATCCTGGAGTAAAAAGCCCTTGAAACTGACCCTGAGCTGCCCGCCCGGGCTTGTCTGCCCATCCCCTACACACATGCAGTCTGTCCCCTGCAATATCATAGCCACCTGTACCCGCTTTGCGACAGGCTGGCGGAGTGTCCCGAGCTCAGGGGTGTGGGAAAGGGAGCGCTGGGCCATCACCTCTTCCTGTGTACCTCCCGCTCCCTGGGATCCTGACCTCACAAGTCCAGGCCACAGCGGCAGGGGACATGGCCCAGGTCCCACAGCCTCTGGGCCCGGGATTCCTGCCACATTGAAAGTGTTGGCGGGCTGAGATGGCCCAAGTGAAGCCCAAGGTCGTGGAGCGAGGGCCCAGCGTTCACAGATGCCCTTGGCGAGCCGCAACTCAGCTGCTCTGACTCTGAGTGCCCTTGAGCGGGCTCACCCTCCTGGGCCTCCCTCCAGGGCCTCCCTCCTGGCCCTGGTGACAGGCTGGCTGTGAGCCCCCCACTCCTGGACTCCGCCTCGGTTGTGATTTAGGGGTGATGGGACTCTGCACCAACTTGCTGCTTTAGTTGCCTTTGGAAAACGAGAGTGCCTCCGTGGTTTGATGGGTCCCCAAAGTCCCCGTATTGGAAGCTGAATTGCTCATGGTCTCTGGAGGTGGGACTTTGGGAAGTCATTGGGGTTCAATGAGGTACGAGGGTGGGCCCTGTAATGGCGTCCGTGGCTCTCTAAGGAGGAAGCCAACGTGCTTGTCCCTCCGGGTGGGACCCTGCCATGCAGGGGCGCAGTGAGAAGGCCCCCGCCAGGTGGCGCCCCACGCTCTTGGCCTCCCGGAGTCCAGACTCCAGGAAGCCCTCCAGGAGGCTGGGAGGAGGGAGCCAAGGGGCAGGAGGCGGCTGGGACACCAGGCCTCGTGTGGCCTTCTGGGTGGAGACAGACCCTCTGACTGAGAGGGAAGGAGAGGAGGACGGGAGGACAGAGGACAGACACACGGGAGGGACTGTGCCCTGCAGAAGTGGCGCCGGCAGGGTCCCCTCTGCCTGGGCTCCGATGCCTGCTCCTGGACTCCGCGATTCCTCTTCCAGATGCGTCAGGGCCGAGCCCCGGCCCCCGGCAGCTCTTGGTGTCCCCGGTCCCCTGCTGGATCGCCAGGCTGGAGGGGGCTGCTGAACCGGGCTCGGGGCACAGGCCAGGTGCTGGGCTGGAGGGCACCTTGTCCCTGCCGTCTCCACCACTAACCTCGCCCTGGCCCCCAGGCACCAGCCTCCGGATGGTGGGCAGTGTGTGGGCAGCCCGGGGGCTCTCCCTCAGCTGCATCTCAGCCCTCCGCCTCGTCTCCCCGCCTGGTTCCAGGTCCCCACCTTCCCCTACTGCTCCTGGCCTCAGGGTGACAGCAGGAACCAGAGCTGAATGACCTTCACATCCTTGGAGGACATTCCTGAGGTGGCCTCCCCAGTTCCTTGGGCCCTCGGGGACAGAGCAACTCATCAGGACAGAGAACGGGCTCCAGTGAGGTGGGTGTGAGGGTCCTTTGTTATCACCCAGACGTCCCTGCAGCTATGAAGACACCATTAGGTGTCACCTGCAGAACTTGACAAAACTGCCAAGTCCTGGGGTCCACCTGGACCTCTGGCTCTGCAGGTGTGAGGTGGGTCTAGCAAACACCCAGGATGATTTCAAAGGCAGCTGCCAGCCAGGTGTGGTGGCACACACCTGTCATCCCAGCAGCACAGGAGGCTGAGGCAGGAGGATTGCAAATTCAAAGCCAGCCTCAGCAACTTAGTGAGGCCTTAAGCCACTCAGCAAGACCCTGTCTTCAAATGAAAATTAAAAAGAGCTGAGGATGTGGCTCAGCGGGTAAGTTCCCCAGAGTTCAATTCCCGGGACCCAGAACCAAATCAAACCAAAGCTAGCTCCAGGACACTACAGTGCCATCTGCTGGAAGTTCACTGTCATGAATTATGCAAATCCAAGATGATCCCAACAATTCACCTAGAGTTGTGCAGTGTACAACCTGCACGCTCCTACTTGGTCACTCTCTAAGTGCTGCTAAGTTTGAAAATGAAAGCTGAGATGTGGACGTCCTTGTGATGCTGCTCATTATCCAAACCAGCAACGGAGCGAACGGGTGCCCTGTCCGGCACCTCTAGACTGACCACAAAGGAGACGTTACAGGCGCCTCTCCCGGGGATGCCGATGTGCAGGGTAGTGAGCGCTTGATGACAAAGGTCGGGAGGTGGTCTGCGGGTCTGGATCTCAGTTCTGGCTCCACCACTGAATTATCTGTGGCCTGAGCCAAATCTCTCCCGGGGCCTCCGGCTGTTTGTCTGTAGAAATGGGACATAGTGGACAGAACTCTTGGGAATGTTTTGAGGACACAGTGGCTGGTCAAGAAGCAAATGGAGGAGTGTCCGATGCCCCGTCCTGACCCTTCCTCTGCCCTCTTCCTGGCAGGCTGCAGCTGTGATGCTCCTGAGAGGCTGGCGCCCGCTGCCTCCAGTGCGGGCCTCCTCCTGTCCTGGGCACTGGCCTCCAAAAGACTGTGTTTGAGGAGGGGCAGTGGACTGATGCCAGGGCTACAGGCCATGGCAGGGAAGCCACTGGTCATCCCAAGCCCTCGAGACGTATTTGCCGAATGAGTGAATGAATGAGCTGTGAGCAGCGTCTGGTCCCCTAAGACAGATGGCAGAGATAAGCCCTGGGATTGTGACCTATTCTTGGTCCTTCAGCTAACTGGAAATTGCTAGGGGGCCAGGATGATGGCATCTTGATGCAGCCTACTCCTGCCCTGAGCCAACCCAGTTCTAATTATCTGTCCCCTTTGATTCTCTCTTATCCATTTGTGTCATCTCTACCTGGGTGACCCTACAGAGTTGGGGAGGTTGTGCACTGCACAATCATACCTGGCTAAGAGCTGAGAGAGGCTGACCTCCAGCTGCTGCCCCACTTGCTAAGCCATAGACACACAAGACCGCACCTGCGGAGGGGGTTGCTTTTCTGTAATTCACCCGCAGCCCCTGGACACCAGCCCATCTTGACTGCAGCTCTCAGCCCAGTAACTCTCCACCGTGGGCGAAGGTGACCAGCACCTGGCAGGTCTTCCTGCTGCCCACCCCCCCAGTCTGTCTGCCGCACACTGGACAAACAGGTCCTGCTGAAAGTGAAATGGGATCATCATGCCAGGCAGGCTGGCTCGTCCACTCTCCGGTGGCTTCCCGTCAGAGTGAAATCCAAACTCCGGGTCCAGCCTCTGGAGCTCCCCAGACCCGGGCCTCCCCTCTCCACCATCTCATCTCTCCCTCCTGTGCTGGGCTCCGCCCCAACTCACTGTCCTTTGCTTCTGTCCCTCCTGCTTGTCCCTCTGCCTGCACCCGGTTTCCCCAGACCTCCCCACACCCGGCTCCCCCTGTCTGCTGGGCGCCCTGCCTCCCTGGGGCCTCCCCGGCCTCTGGCAGCTCCTCTCTCCTGCGCTCCGTCCTCCGATGCAGCTTTAGACCTTCACGCACTTACTTGCTGATCTGAAATCCCTTCCCGGTCTCCCAGATCACTGTCACTTTATCCACTTGTTCCTGAGGGGGCAAGGACGTAGCCATCTGCCTCCACATCCCTGGGGCCCACACGGTGCCTCCTAAGCCCTGGGATTGTGACCTATGTCGGTCAGAACTTCCTTCCATCGTAAGGCTCAGTGATGCCCACTGCTCTAAGTGCACACACGCTCCCAAACAACAAGTCGTACCTAGCAAATATGTTCTGAGCCGGATGTGGTGGTTCACGACTGTCGTCCCAGCGACTCGGGAGGCTGAGGCAGGAGGGCCTCAAGTTGGAAGCCAGGCTCTGGAAGTTAGTGAGGGGCTAAGGAACTTAGTGAAACCCTTTCTCACAAGAAAAACCAAATGAAACAGGCTGTGGGTGGCCCAGTGGCTGAGCACCCCTGGGTTCCATGCCCAGTACCAAAAAAAAAAAAAAGGATAAAAAATATATATATTTGTAAATTTAAAATGGACGCATTGGCCGGTCCTCCGCACCCGCACGCCGCTCCTGCTCCTCTGTTCATCTGCGGTGGAGCCGGGGCTGCGCCACATCAGCTGCGGGAACACGGTGCCCGACTCGGGCACTCGGCCAGAAGTGGAGTGGCTGCTCCCACGGCCACCCCTGGAGCCTTCTGGGGAGGAGCCATGGTCCTGGCAGCAGCCGCACCACCCTCGCCCACCCGCCGTAGTCACCATCCTAACGGGTGTGGGGGACTCTCAGTGTGGCTTCGATTTTCATTTCTCTTGTGACAAGTCAGGTCCCTCCAACAGGCTCCGATGGTGAGTGCACGGAGGGGGGAGGGGTGCCTGGATGGAGGGCCAGGGGGCGGGCGGGCGGGTGGATGGTTGGAGGGTGGGGTGGAGGGGCGGCTGGGACAGTTGGTGTGACGTGCAGAGAGGTGGATGGCGGAGGGACTGCCTCTGTGTAGAGGGGCGGGGAGGACGAGCTGAGTAGAATGTGCTTGGAGGATGGTAAGAGGTGGACGGGGTTGAACGGTGGGTGGACGGCCCAGTGCCCGCCCACCTTCCGTCTCTAGCCCACCACCCAGCCTGGCCTCCCCGTTGGCCAAAGCAGCCTGCGAGGCCCCCTCCATGCACCGTGGTGGGAAGTGCCGGGTGGGTGGGGCCATGTCACTGCCATCCTCAACACAATCCTGGCCAGCCTCCTGCCCATCATCAGTGGCCCTGCATGACCAAGATCCAGGGGAGGGCCATCTTCTCCAGTGACACCGAGAAAATTATCCTTGTGCCAGAAGTAAGCAAATAAAAATCTCCCAGGAAGAACAGAAAGAGTCTACTCTACAGTTGGATGAAATCACTCCATATTCGAGTTCAGATCCCACCTAGGCTGCTTCCTTGCTGTGTGACCCCAGGCAAGCCACTTTACCTCTCTGGACCTATTTATTCTTCTGAATAAATGAAGGGTTGTTATGACAGTTAACTCAAGATCTTCAATGTAAATAAAGTACTTTGGCACCCAGAGTTCCTTTCCTCCCTTCCCAATCCCAGGGAAGTATCTGACTGGTCAGCACCGAGTCCCATGCCCACAGTGGGGATGGGTGTGCCATCAGCCTCACTTACAGAGCTAGAGTTAGAGCAGTTGCTGGTACTGGAGTGGGGGAAGGCTGCTGGGCATCCCATGGCCAGCTTGCTCTTTAACGGAGGTTTTATTTATTAAGATCATTTCATAGATTTGAAAATTGTTCAGAGAGGTAAAGTCATTTGCCCAAGGCCACACAGCTGATCAATGGCAGAGCTGGGATTTGAATCCAAATCCGACAGACTATTGGGGAGGTAAAAGACCACCTGGGTTTGCTCCCTCCGCCCCCACCCACTCAGCTTGCATTGATAGATCACAGAAAAAAGCAGCTCGTGTTTATCTTCCAGAAGGAACAGTAGGATGATCGATAACTTCTGCTTTGAAAAAAACGGAATAAATAGAAAAACCTAGGCAGCCACAGAGTAGTGTTCCAAGGGACTGGGAGGCCAGCAGGTCATTTCCAGTGTCATTACGATCACTTGATGCCAATTGCCCTGCCGTGCAAACCCGGGCACATCACAGCACAAATAGCAGCAAGCAGCTGGGCGCGGTTGTGCCTGCCTGTCATCCCAGGCAGGGGAGGCTGGGGCAGGAGGATGGATTTCCAAGCCAGCCTCAGCAACAGCGAGGCCCTAAGCCACTCAGTGAGACCCTATTTCTAAATAAAATGCAAAATAGGGCTGGGATGGGGCTCAGTGGTCAAGGGCCCCCAAGTTCAATCCCTGGTACCCCCCCAAAAAAAAGCCGTAAGGGGTGCCACCAAGTAGAAGCCCCTCAATCCTCAGGTCACCCACTCAACCTTGGGGTGGGGCACCCCGTCTCTGTGCACCTCACAATGGCTCCCAAGGTCTTAACTGTTTCTCTGGGAATTGTTTCAGCAATGCCAAAGGGATCCCCAGCCCTTAAAGCAAAGCCATTCACAGAGACTCTGTTTTACTTGGCAACAGGCAGAGGGATCCTTCTTGATTGTTTTCTCTCCAGCAAAACAAGAGGTGTCCTTTTTTCAAAGAGCTAGCACAAACCGTGTTTGATTTAGAGTTCTAAATACATGTATCCCTATAGGAGAAAACAGAGTGAAACCTCAAAATAAACCCGGTTACTGCCAAGGAACGGTTT